TCGGTCGAACTCGATCAATCTCGACTGGGTGTCTTATGTTGTGTGTCGATCGAGTTCCCGGAATTGGACGGAATCGATTCCGCTGCGGAACTGATTCCTCCAATGTTCAACATCGCGGAATAGGATGCATTCTCTGGCATATGGCCTGCTGAACTCGAGAAATGGCGAAAAAAAAGGAAAGTTAATAGACGAAACTGAAACTGATATTTTTGTTAAATAAAACGGGTTACATCAGTATTTTTAATGCGTTTTTCATCATTTATTTTAATATATTTTCATTATAAACCGTTAACCATGTAGGGAACTGCAAAATCACTTTTTTTGGTCCCGGTCCCGGTAACTTAGAGAAATTTGGTCCCGGTCTCAGTCCCGCGGGACTGGGACCACTGTACAGTTCCCTATAACCATGTCACCATTATGTATCTACGAAATAAAACACATTTAGTTGCTTTACCAAAAAACAACATATTTTCAACCTAATACGTTATTTCTTGAGGATGGATGTAGGTATGTATGAAAAGAAAAATCGTGTCTACAATCACCCATTTTTTATCCCAAATGCGATTCTCTGACTCACTTTTTCAAAATAATCCCAGGGTAGGTGAGTGAGCAGAATATTCACATCCACATTCTCAACAAGAACACTTTATTAATGATATATTAAACTTTATTTAACTTGAAGATAAAACCTCAAGCAGAATACAATTAAAACACAATTAATTATTTTAATAAGGAACAAAACGAAAACTAAATATCGTTTATTGATATATGCCATTGGTGAGTTTAGAATGTATGGAAAAAAATTGAAAAAGAAAAAATAATTATTAACGAATAAAAAATTTACGAACAATATAACAACATACATTTTCATAATACTATTAGACAAAAGAATATTATAAATAGAACTGAAATAATTTTGATCTAATACGAATCTGTTAAAACTGATTCCTGATTTCGATATAGTACATTTTAAATATAGTCTTCATATGATATTAATACCAATATGCATCAAAATCATGAAATTAGAATATTTTTTTATCCCAATATATCTCTTCGTTTCAATATGTACTGATAAGGTTTTCTTCTATTGAAAAAGAAAATATTCAATCTGCTCATTAAAAAAGTATGTGAAAAAACATTATATAAGACTTATAAATAGCCAATTGATATTGATTCATCAGCTAACTCGATCAGCTGCATCCACTGATGAATATTCACCAATACGAATAAACAACCATTTTGCCAGAACTATTTTTCACAACTGCATCACTGAATACGATATCATCATAACATCTATTAATGGATTCTATTTCACCTAAAATGAATTTATCATATAGTGCAATGCTTGGTTTTGTTGATAAGAATAGTTGAAACCTGTCATTTCTGATTCATCGACTTCGAGATTGTTTGATTCAATTACTAAGCCATCGACTGGTATCTGATCACCTGGATCATATGAAATGTATAGAAATTTTCTTCATTTTATTTCTGCCTATAACTGAATGAAAAAAAGGGTGTGGATGTGAGTGTGGGTGTCATTCTGGTTCTAATATAATAAACACCCATACCCACACCCACACCCTCAAGATGGTAGGTGTGGGTATTGTATTCGCATTCCACCCACACCCACACCGACAGGCAATAAAAGCATTCCCAATCGATTAACGATTCAATCAAATTTTTTACTTATACATATCTATACTTGTTACTTCACAAAAACTAGTTATTTACTTGATATTTTTCATTATTTTACTAAGAAAACAAAATGTTTTCATTGAGAATTTATATAAATTACTTAGCAAAAATAAAATTTGTTACTTACTTTTCATTTAAAATTGTTTAGCGCTTAAATAGGTGCCTCCCAGATATCTATGATCAATGCCACATATGGTAAGTGTAATTGGATTATAAAACAATATATTTTTCTTCGCTATTTCAGATATCTATGATCAATGCGACAGATGGTACATATAACTGGAATATATAACAGTATATTTCTCTTCGTTATTTCAGATTCCTATGATAAATACTACATAGATTTTCTCTTGACATACTACTTCAGACTATGAAGTTTTTCGTAGATACTTACACGAAAAATGTTTTTTTTTTCTTTCAATTAAGTTAATACGTCTCATATTCGATGAAAAACTATTCTGTTTTTCGTTACTAAATCAATTATAGGAATAAAAACATAGAATGAAAACCATCACCAAGCTGATAATAAAATAAACTAGATTATTAGACAAAAAAATGATGATATAAATTCAAATGTTTATTAGAAAAATGGTAATTAAATTGATGAGATTGTAAAATATTACTACGTTCGTTTGTGTGAGAACTATCTAAAAATGACAAGATCAGTCTTCAGTTTGTGAATATTTAATTGTTTATTTATTAACTATAAAATATTATTTATTTCCTATCTTCTCTTTCGTTTATATAGTTCTTCTTTTCCACTTATGTTTCTAAAAAAGAGGAATTTTTTACTAAACATGAAGATTAATCACTTAATTCGAAGAGCAATCATTTTTTCGTTTGTAATAATGGAGTTATTAAAGAATAATACATATTTCTGTTCGCATTAGTCAGAGTTTTTAGATATTCTCTTTCTTATAAGTCGTATAGTATGAAGTTTTATTGTTCTAATAGAAAAGAAAAAATGTTTTCTCTCTAATGAATATTTCATGTGCATAAAAGTCAAGGAGTTTGTCTTACAATTCAAACTTATCGCCTTCGACAAAATTTCACATTTGATAGACCCTTAATAAAAAATAATATTTTTCTAGAATATGTCACATCTCAATTCCTCATAAAAAGAAAAACAAATCACTCATTATTATTCCAATAGCAACAGAACTAACTCTTAATGTTCTCAATACGGCGAATGCTAAAATACTTAACTGCTTTTGGAATTATTTATGGATTTTACCTTACAAAATTTGATGTTAATCGTAATACTGTATTTACATCGTTGTCAAACCATTCCAGAGTTTTGTCAAGTAAGTTCTATTTGTTGTAGGCTTTTTTACTGAGTACATACGGTATTAGATGTTAAAAAGTAATTTAAACGTCGCACATAAGTATATATTGCCCACTATTTAAAACTTTCTATAGACGTACAAATATATTTATGTCCGAAAAATATTTGTCTCTACAGTCATAGAAGAACTATATGTTTGCACTAAAGTATTGCATGACATATGTTCATTTATTCAAATTATTTATATGAAGCTTTGTAAATTCAGAGAGAAAAAAATGAGATTTGCGTAATTTGAAATAACTGAAATATATTGAGATGCTATGTTACCCTATTATTCGAAGTATCACACTCAATTTTTCTCTATTGAGTCTATTTTGGACGGGATGATATCGAAGAATGTTAAGATTATAATATTCCAAAACTAGTAACTTTAGTAGAGACTGAGTCATTCATTTGATGTCAGAAACTTAAAAGTATAGTAAGTTGAGGTTTATATTAGTTTGTACATTCTCAAATAGAGCTTATTCAGTTAATTTACCAATGTATTGACTCGTACGCATTTGTAATAATATACTTCAGTTGTTTATAATATGTCAGATTTCATCATTTCTACGTATTTATATTAACTCATGTTACTGTGTGCAAGTTGAACACCTGCTAATTATCCTCGAGTATCATGCAACTATCCAGTGATGTAGTCACGAATTTTCGGACCAATAAACTGTTTTCTACCTAAATTATTTTAAAACAAGGACGACATTGAATAATTGAAAATCTATTGGACTATTGCACAATAGTCATCCACTGACTGTGTCATTGTAAACATCTTATATTCTCGTCGTATAATGATCCATTAGAATAAATACTTAAACTAAGTTATCATAGATTCAAACAAGTTCTTCTCGTCTTGGTATCAACCTGTACTTGTTGGAAATACATCCTTTTCCAATTACTTTGTGCGACCAGGAACTGTTGCTGTTGTTCACATTAATGCAGGTATGATGTCTATGGGTTACAATCTTTTTTGTTCTCTTCGAAAACTACGTGCAAAGTCATTAGCAGATAAAATCATTTTCTGGGCCGTAGATGAAGAAGCAGTGACATATTTACAATTATATCGAAAGAAAAATAATCTTTCGTTTGGGATTTATCATCCTGATACAAAACATCAAATTAGTAAGTTTCAAAATCCAGGATCTCATGGATATTTTCAAATGATGCGTGATCGAGTATCTGTTTATATAACACTTATTCGTCAATATCGTTTATCACTTCTCTTTCTGGATGTTGATATTATTTTTACTGCTGATCCTTTACCCGATCTTTTTCTTAACGAAGAACGAGATCAATCTGAAGATATAATCTATAGTACAGATGCTCGTAACTTTTATAACGCATTAAAAGATCCATATGAAAGCGGTCCATTTATACCAATGATTTGTGGTGGTTTCTTTCTTATGCGTCCGACAGAACCTACAATTCGCCTACTTGAAGATCTAAGTAAAACGATAGATATCAATCCAAACGCTAATGATCAATGGACTACACATAAACTTTTAAATAGTCGTTATAATTCTACAAGTAACACATTTATTCACGATCCAACTCGTACTTGGCTTGTTGAACCATTTCCGACCGGATTAGAACGAAGAAATACAAGTGTGAGAACAAACAGTTCAATCAAGCTTCGTTTATTAGAACAAGGAGCCTATATCAATGGACATATCTATGGTTCATTACATAATCAATACTGGCAGGAAATACAAAAAATTGAAAAATCCAATCCATTTTTTCAGCGCATTATGATACATGCCAATACATGGGCAGAAGACAAATTACAACTGATGAAGAGAAATCATTTATGGCTTTTAGGATCAGATGATGTCTGTATTTTGTAATATAAAGATATAAAACAAGTATTCATATTTCTTAAGATCTCCTATGATATAGTTTAGCTTGAGAATAAACTTGAAAGTGATTGAGAATGTGGATATGCTATAGATTCATAAGCACATTCTATCTCTTTTTCCGCATGTATATATACATTATTGAACATACATTCATTTAGTCCCCTTTCTCTCCCCATTCTAATTTTTATTTCAGTTTTTGATTATAGAATCTTGCTGATATTTTCAGAAAAAACATGTTCCAGATTAGATACTACACAGGAAAAATATCAGTTCAAAATGTTCAGTCTGTCAACAGTCATCTCAAGATTAAGGGCTAAACGATGATGTCGGCTAGAGAGTGGATATGGGTGAGAACAGAATAACTCACGCCCACATCCTCAAGGTGTAAAGTTTATGTCGTACTAGAGTTAATGTTATTTTGGAAACATTAAATATCTTAACAATCAGCAATCATATTGTATGTGATGCAAATATTATTAGTGAAAAACTTTATTCAGACATTTATTTCGGTTTATTTTGTTGCTGTTAGAGAATCTCTCTTTGCCTATGTTTATTATATTTTGTAGATGATGCTTCGCAAACTACCGATCCTAACACATATCCGGAACTGTTTACTTTATATTTTTGTTGTTTTATTCACTTTAGTCGGCATTTATTTTCTTCGTCCGTCAACGGTTCAATATAAGGTTCAAAAATGCATTTACAATGTCACTCCTGTCCTTCGTCCTATGTGTCAAAAAGATGAACGAATTATATGTGATAAAGTCGGTCAAATCACGACTTTTCAGCCTTGCTTTCCATCAACTTTACTCGATTCCGCAATAGCCTGTCATGATAGTTATTCTTGTCAAGAACAATCAAAGAAAACAAACATAAATCTAGCAAGAAATGTGTCTCGAAAAGCATTTTTTAGTTCATTGTATATTGATAACAACTATTCAGAAGGAGCAATGGTTCTCGGCCACACTCTGAAAAAATATCATCCGCATTATCCGATGTACATGATGTATTTTGAGAATGCATTGAGTAACCGAACACTATGTTCTTTGCGTGAAGTTGGTTGGATACCAAGACTTGTGCAGAATATTCCACCGCCAATGACAGGACACCTGCCTAATTTCATTAATCAGTTTACAAAATTAACACTCTGGAATATGACTGAATTCGACTCCATTATTTATTTAGATGTGGACACTCTAGTTCTGGGTGGTATTTCGCATTTACATGAGCTCGTAGCTGATCCATCTCGTACCAGATTTGAGTTTGCTGCTGTTGCTGATAATTGGTATGGTAAATTCGCTTATCATTTTAACGCTGGGATGCTCGTTTTACATCCATCTACTGTTGTATTCAAAGAACTGCTACGAACGAGTCGTATCGAGGGAAACTATGATCCAGGATGGGCTGAGCAGTCGTTTTTGAATGCCTTCTTTCAGCTACGATATTTAGAACTGCCGGTCATTTATAATGTAAACTTAGCTCTATATTTGACCTATCCTGATTTGTGGAAAAGAATGCAGTCGGATTTCAAGATTATTCACTATACAATCGCTAAACCGTTTTTTACGAAATCTGATAGTAAAATGGAAGTTCCTCTGAAGCTCTATGGTGAAGTTATGGAAGAATACAAGAAAACTACAGTGTATGATCAAGTGAAAATAAAATGTGTTTGACACTTCAGAGTGAGGATGAACTGATCAGATTACTGCTACCAGATCTTCGGCTTTTTGAATTTCTTTTCTATTTTTAACTTGTTTCGTCAAAATTTCTAGTATTCTAGAGGCTGTGAGCGTAAATGTTGGTAAGGGTGTGGTCTGGAAAGAAGAACCACATAACACTCAAACCCACGCACACACTCGTACCCACCTCGCCCACAAACTCACACTTACACCCTCGACACTTGCTTCTCAACAATCCACTTGTATGCCAAATAAAATAAATTTCTTTAGTAGTGTGCTTTCCAAATAATTAATTAAATGTAGGGTTTTAATTTCGCCGACAGATTTCGTGTTATTTATTTAAATAGAAACATTCATCAAGACTCTGCATTGCAATGAAGCAAAAGGATTTCGAATAATAAAGATAATTACAAAAAAGCCTAAAGGATGGCTGTGGGTAAGTGTGAGTGTTTTATGGGTATAATACTCATATCCCATACTTACATCCATACCCTCAAGTAAAAAGATATTTATAAAAAGTTCAAAAATGCCAAATATTAAAAGTAGAAAAGGAAACAGATCAAAGCATACTGTACGATACCGGAGGTCGATAATTCATAAAAGATCATAGCGACGTCGTTTTTCCATACGCAAAATATGTACTATCAAATTATCCCGGTCAACATCGAGTACTTCCACCAGTAATAATATATAGCCAATACTATTTCTGTGATCAAATCCTCACTTTTTTCCTATTCTCTTTCTCGTAAGAGAAGAGTCCAGTAAGAATAAATTGTTTGCTTGCTTGTCTGTCCGCAGGGTCAAAAAAAACATTGAAATTTAATTTTTCAGATACTTCAGGAAAAATTTGACTGGGGGGTAATCGAGGGTGGGGAAATAGAATCTGATGTTAGTTTATTAAAATTAACCAGTTAATAATTAGTTAATAATTGATATTATTATATGTTCGAGTAAAGTTTCACCGAAGGGTAATCGAGTGTGGAGAATCCGAATCTGAGGTTATTTTTAGTTAAGAATCAATTAATAATTAGTTAATAATTAATATTATTAATTTTTGAAATATTTGCGGAAAAGTTGTTCCAAAGCGTCATCGAGTATGGAGAACTCGAATCTGAGGTTAGTTTATTAAAATTAATTAGTTAATAATCAGTTAATAATTAGTATTATTAATTTTTGAAAAATGTTTGACCGAAGGGTAATCGAGTGCCAATAATTCGAATGTGAGGTTATTTTTAGTTAAGAATCAATTAATAATTAATTAATATTATTAATCTTAAAGATGGTTCCAAGAAAGTTTTACCAGAGGGTAATTCGAGAATCGATTTTTTAGAAAAGACATTTTTGGGGCATTTCGATGCGGAGACTTCGAATCTGATGTTAGTTTATAAAATAAATTTATGGGTCACTTTTTTAAAGAGAGAACCAATTTTTATAGAAAAAAATTTTTCATAAGGGGTGACCAAAGGGAAAGTCGGCTGGAAGAACACAAATCTGGTGTTAATTTTTCCAAACTGTATAAGCAAAAAGTTTAGTATTGTAGAATACGATTTCTACGAGAAAGAGCAGAGCGAGCCGGCAGACGAGTGCTACTTGTTTTTTTCTTTGCATTGATTCATCACATACCTATATTCTTCGTTTACACATACACATCTTGAGGGAGTAAGTGAGGATGAGATGAATATAACAGCCACATCCATATGCAGCGAAGAAATGTAAGAAAATGAGTTAAGAATTATTCAAGCTCTGGTTTATCATGAATAATCAGTAGCTAAAAGATGCGTGTGGGTGGATAAGATATGGACACAACACCCACACTCATCCTTAGGAGAGGAATTTTAACAAAGTACGGACCACCAAGATCAACTGCTATTGGAAGACAATCGACAAAAGATTCTCTTCTTTTCCTAATTGCTCGGCAGTCTCATGCGCTAAGTGGGTGAGTGTGACTACGAGGATTTGATGCATTGATCAATCACCCCCACCCACACCCACACCCACACCCTCAAGACTTTTTAGTTTTGATACAAAAAAATCTCATTTAGTGAATTTTTTAAATTTTCCATGTATTTTACACGGAATGTTCGTATTAGGAACATGTTTTAGCTTATTGTTCTTATCGAGAACATGCTACTTAATACGAACAAATTCACTTGTCATAATTATACCGCTAAGTACTCAATCAATTTTTGAGATAATTAGTGGAATTTTGCATCATTTGGTGCGCAAGATGCTCCTTTACTCGGAGCTAAAAAGATAATTTTTTTATGACTAGAAATGACTGAGAAAAATGCATAACAATCAAGGGAGTCAAAGTTCCTGTTCGTATTAGGAACATGCGCTGTATTGAATAAGAAGTACATGCTCACATTACCTGTATTCAATACAATAATAAAAGAATACTAAAAGCTATGAATGCATAGTGCATTATTACTAACAATATTTTACACGAAAAATTTTAGACCGATATACTATCTGATTTAGTAACGGTTTAAAGTAAACTAATGAATTAGCAGGATCAAGAATTCACAGTCTTTGACAAAAACTATAATTTATTTTTCAAAACATCTATATTATAATGTACAAGATTCAGTTCGGGAACTTTCGTCTGATTGGTCACAGAACGGAAAAAAAATATATACATATATATACATATATGACTAGCCGACGATGACCATTTGTCTACATTGTCCTACTATTCTATATTATTATTATTATCTGCCCATTCAGTAAAATAAAATAAAAGAATAAGACATAATAAAATTAAAAAATCTATACTAAAATTTACAAGTTTTCTTCTGAAACTTTTTTTCTTATCCAGACTTTTCACATGTATGCCACACTTCACACTTGAACTTAAGCATTCAACTATCTATCTGCAAGAAGGTGAGTGGGAAGGGGAGTGAACAGCGGGTATGGGTGAGCGTAGAGCACAGGGAGAATATGAGTAAGCAGGATATCAGTGGCGATGAAGGGAAGAGAGATACAAAATGAGAATAGTTTAATACTTGAAGTGAACAAACGAATTTAACTTTCAAGTTTGACACTACTCATTTTTATTGAGTCAGTTTTCCCTAAAATATGACATTTTATCTCTTCACAGGGGCCTCTAGTAAGGTATATAGCATCGATATCCTGAAAACATTGCATCCTCCCATCCCATACAATACGACATGCTTTTACTCTTCCCTCTCACCAGGATCTACGCATACTCGTAAGCATCCCTCACACCGTCTTTGCCAAAACAAGCCGCCACCTTCAAATAATCAACATCGTCCGTCATCTTATGCGGGTTGATCGCCCCAGGCCCGA